TAAATAACTTTTTCATGATGTTCAAATATGATAAAATTAGTAAAATGAAGCAAAGGATGTAAAAAAAAAGGAAATACAGCAACAGGACAGATTTAAATTTTGTTAGAAAAAAAGCAATGAACTACAATCCCATGTTCTTTTTAAATATACTTTGTTAATTTGATCAGTTTTATAGTTTTAGAGGTAATTTAATATTTAATGGAGTCAATAAGAGTAAAAAACATTTCAGCGCTGATATGGTGAAGTTTTCTGACAGGAGACTTTTATGTAACATTTATGGAAGGAGTCTCCAGTGTCAGTGCTTTTTTATTGATTATTTTCTTATACCTATTTAACGATATGTGAAACAATTACCAAAATATTAGCTGAATCTGTGAAGCAGGTATTTGCGTTTATTGTTTAACTTACAAATCGTGAAAGCAGTGGTCATGTTCTCCTTGTTTGCGGTGGCGTTCTCCAGCTGTAGCGTGGAGTTGACCAGGACGAGGCTGTTATCGGGGCCGAGAGAGACCTCGGCGGTGATCGGGGACACGTTTACGGGCTCCAGCCCCATGCCCGAGCTGTGCAGTGACACAGGTTCGAGCTGAGTCTGTGGTGCCATGGCCCCGGTGAGCACCACACTGACCACGCCTGAGTTCAGCTCACCGTTAGAGTGTAGAGCTTCACTCAGAGCTCCTGCAGCTCCGGTTCCTGAGCTGCTCCCTACACGTCCACTCATGTGTTCCTGCTCCATCACCACGGGCAGCTCCAGTCCGGGGCCGTGCAGGGCCATGACGCCTCCCTCCAGGCTCTCGTGGGGTTGATTCCTGCCGCCGAGAGGCTGCTGCGTGTCTGCGGTCACTACCACTCCGTCCATGTTGGCCAGCTCTTCCCCCATCCCGTCAGGAGACATGGGGCTGTTCACACGTGACTCCATCGCGAGCCCAGCGGCGTCCAGCTGCACCTCGTGAGCGCCGCCCTGGTGGAGGTCACCCTGCCGTGAGTCTATGGACACCAGGCTTTGTTCTAAATGTCCGCCTGGGCCGCTGTAGGGGTCGAGGGATGAAGGGTTGTTGTTGGGCACAGACAGAGTGGCGTCCATGTTAAGGCTGCTGGGGTGGATGTACTGTGGCGGAGGACGATCGGCCAAATACGACAAAATACCTACAGGCCAAAAAAAAAAGGCAGATATTAAGTCAGTTAGAATCATTTTTTCCCATTTTGTTTCTGTCTATTTTACATTTGCTTATTATTTTCAAAAATCCATAGTCATGTGACATGACACGTGCCAGGTTATTGGGTTCTACTTTGTTATGATTCTATAATGTTATTATTCATGCTTCAAGTGGAACATCAAAAAAAATAATAATAATAAATACAGCAATAAACTTCTGCTATAATCACAGGTCTATAATCCAAGTCTGAAGCATTTTGAATAATAATAAAAAAAAAAATCTAAGATGAAAGACGGCAGTGTCCAAGTCCGTCTGCGAAACTTGGTTTGTTTGCACAGCGATTTTTTTTAATGTGCGGTTAGTAAACTAAAAGTCAAAAACACGCCAGTTATCTATAGTATAAAGTCAAATACTCCACAGCGCTGTTGAATTCTGGACTGTGATTGGTCAGAAGAAGGTGTTGATTCATTTTCTATCACAGCAGCTCCGACAGCAGTGCAGCTGCACATCACAGGTTTATATTAATGCGCTCGTTCTGATACGCTGACTGTGCTCTTGTGGGTGGGAGGAGCATACTCTCTCTCTCCTGTCAATCAGTGTCAGTCTCATGTATGTGGAAGAGGGCTGATTTCCTGCCTTCCTCTGAGTGTGTTATGCTGCAGTGTGACACAGCATGAGCATCAGTTTGAAAAGATGCATCATATTTCTTGGAAGAAGCACGTTTTATCCTTCGCCTGATAGAGAGTAGAGGGTGGGATCTGCCCAAGACCAAATTATGACGAAAACAGCAAACAAACTTGTTTCATGGATGTTCCACAATATTACATTTAACTATAAATGGATAAAAATAACAATGCGTTGCCTTTTTATAAATGAAAAATTGTTACCGTAGGTAAAATTTCTGTGATATAAGATGAAATAAACCACTTTCAGGACGTGCTTTTATAGGAAAATAATCAACGTCGGGTGATAAGAGTAACTCTGCTTCATTTTGTTTGTTTCGAAAGTGTTGGCACCTCCAGGAAAATTTCAAATCCAGGCTTTTGTGGTTTATTTCTTACTAAAGCAACTTCTCTGATTTTGTCTGATTTGGCTCACACTTACGGAGCTATTGCCATTTTTCTAGACAAAAATATTCCTTACAATGTATTTAATTCATTCAAAACAAAAACAAATTGAGTTAAGTGATCTAGAAAGAAAAAAATGTTGTACAGTTCAAATGTCATTAGCTGAAAAGACCGGCGATGAAAACAAAGCGAGCGTTACCGTGACGATAAAAGCGCTCAGTCTCGTTTGCGTCATTTTGGCGTAGAACATCGTAAAAACTTATTGAGCGGATCGGTTATTCAGATGCAGTGCAGCACTCAAATCTGTCATGAACTAACTAAACTAAAGAAAAAGCTTGAAATAAGGAAGGTTGATGATTTCAATATCCAAGATATCACAGGTATAGTAACTTTAAAAAAAATTTTTTTAAATAACAATCAGAAGCAGCTGATCTGATATTAAAATTCCCTTTAAAATCGCTTAAATGTATTTTTATTTATTTATCATTAGAATTTAATAGAATTATTATTCATCATTATTTCTATGTTATTTATTTCCAAATTTTTCTCTTTTTTTTTCCAGTTTTAGTACATTATAGAAAAATATTACCCAGCTTTTTCTTTTTTTTTTTAAATGCAATATTGTTTTGCTTTAATTTAGTCCTATATATCGTGATACATATCATGTATTGTAGAAAAGTATCATGATATGATATTTTGTTCGTATCGCCTCACCATTAGTCTGAAACAAGGTAACATAATGTGTATGAAGTTTCTTACCTGGGAGGATGTGTCTGAAATAGCTGCTCTCCAGGTGAGGGTACGGGGGAGGAGGCAGGGTGTAGTTCCTCTCTGGAAGACCACACATGACTCCTCGGTCTCCCAACGGCCCCATGGGTAACATCAGGGACAGCGCCGAGGGCAGCGGGCCGAGAGACGGCCCCAGGCTCGGTATGGCGACCGGCATTCCTGTGAAAGGAGCAGAGAGATACACGATGGCTAAAGAGTAAAAAAATGACATAATCTTTAATATCGTAATAGCATACAACAGCGCAAATCCTTTATATTTATAACCGATTTGCTCTTACACTAACGTTATACCTTTATAACAAATCATCAGTTATGTGGACATTATACTGTATGTTGTATGTAAGTCTGGAATAAAACACTCCATGTGGTGCTGTTATAGGAAAATAATCAACGATGACGTGAGCCTCTTACACCTCAGCAACTTACCAACAATTCACACTTATCCGTTTATACAGTGGGGCAAAAAAGTATTTAGTCAGCCACCAATTGTGCAAGTTCTCCCACTTAAAAAGATGAGAGAGGCCTGTAATTTTCATCATAGGTACACTTCAGCTATGAGAGACAGAATGGGGGGAAAGAATCCAGGAAATCGCATTGTAGGATTTTTAATGAATTAATTGGTAAATTCCTCGGTAAAATAAGTATTTGGTCACCTACAGACAAGCAAGATTTCTGGCTCTCACAGACCTGTAACTTCTTCTTTAAGAGGCTCCTCTGTCCTCCACTCGTTACCTGTTTTAATGGCAATTTTTAAAGAATTTATTTACAAATTATGGTGGAAAATAAGTATTTGGTCAATAACAAAAGTTCATCTCAATACTTTGTTATATACCCTTTGTTGGCAATGACAGAGGTCAAACGTTTTCTGTAAGTCTTCACAAGGTTTTCACACACTGTTGCTGGTATTTTGGCCCATTCCTCCATGCAGATCTCCACTAGAGCAGT